CATATCACTGGATGCGGACCCAGTGATATCTGGATTTTAAAAACTCTCATCCTTCTACTGAGATTCCTCCATGACGTCGACTCACCTGGTCTATGTAACTTTGAGAACTTTTGGCTTTGTACCCGTTCCCAATTTCTTCTGCTCCTTTAGTGGAGGTTGAATCTTCAGCTGCAATGGCCACACACTGCCCAAACCTCTCCATCCTTAGCGATGGATTATGGTCAAAGGAGCTTTTCTTTGCAAATTTCTCCAGGAGGGACAGGTGATATGGCATGGTCCAACTATTTAGAGCGTTCCATAGTAACAAGGCCAAACACATTCTCTGCAACACCAGGAACAGGTAGATCCTCAGAACAAAGTGACACTTAGTGTTTGCATACCGAGGTTCTACGCACAGTTTGATGTGGCCATGCTCAAAGGCGGCCATCAGGATGAGTGTGGCACTGGGTAAGCTCTTCCCCAGTTTATCTAGAGTTTTGTACATGGTGTCACTGGGGACACGGTCCTTCTTAGACCTCCAGATGAAGTGGAAAATGGCTTGGGTGACTGCAATGGTACAGGTTCTGGGAATGGGCAAGACCTGTACCATGTACAGCAACAGAGAGAGCGCCTCACACCTGATGACCAGGTTTTTACACACAATGAGGATGGAGCAATGCTTCCAAAATTCCAGTTTCTGCCTCACCTTGGCGATAAGATTCTCCCAAGATTTTGTGCACACTTCAGTCCTTCCAAACCATATTCCCAGCACTTCAGGTAATCTGCCCTGACTGTAAAGGGGATACAGGATTGGTTGGCCCACATCCCAAAGAACATGGCCTCGCTCTTGCCTCAATTTACCTTGGCTCCCGAGGCCAGTTTGAACTGGTCTCAGATGCTCATAAGTCTGCACAGTGACAGCGGATCAGAGCAGAAAATGGCGAAGTCAACCATGTGCAGAGGCGCTTTGGCTACAGGCTTGCACTGCCTGGAATAGACACCTCTCTCAGGCTCGCATCCTTCCTGAGGGACTTGGCAAAAGGCTCTATACAATACACAAACAAGGCAGGAGATAGCAGGCAGCTCTGCCTGACTCCAGATCTGATCAGGAAGCTTTCTGGGTTTCCACCCATTTATTGAGATTGCACTAACGATATTGGTATAGGCAGTCGGATCCAATTGTGGATTCCTTTCCCAAAGCCCATTTTGGACTGCACATCCCACATGTAGATGTGCAATATCCTATCAAAAACCTTCTGCTGGAACAGGCTGATGATGCAGGCAGCCATCCACTGTCTTGCACATAAGCGATCTTATCACTGGAGGAGCACAAGACTATCAGACATCGTCCTGCCAGTACATCACAGGTTTGGCCTGGATCAATCACTGATCCCAGAGCAGACCTGACCCAGTTGGTGATCACCTCACACAGGATTTTTGTAATCCACATTCAGCAGTGAAACTGGTCGTCAATTTCTAATTTCCTCCCTTTTCCCCCTTCTGCTTGTAGGAGGTGGTGATAGTACCTTTCCTCATGGATTTCCACATTGTACCTGACAAAAGTATATTGTAGTACACATCCAGCAGGTCCTGGCCAATCAAGTCCCACAGAGCTGAATACAACTCGGCCAGTAAGCTATCATGTCCAGTTTTCCAAGGACTTGAGGGCCTTGGTCAGCTCATTCAGAGATAACAGCTGGTCCCCTCTCCTGCATGCTGTCATCTAGGACCTCTGTGATAAGATTTTAAACTTAAATGAAGGCAACTACATGGGTATGAAAGCTGAGGAAGCTAGTGTGAAGCGGGCTACTAAGCTAGGAGGATAAATCAATACTGACGGGGTGGTTGACAGCTAAGGCAATATTTCAGAATACGTACCTCCCTACTATAAAAGAAAATTCTAATGTGAGGACCCATCATTTCTGGATAGTTTAAGAAATTAGGGAAAAATTAAAGAAAAAAGCATATAACTGCATAACATTTTCTAACAGGTCAGATGGCTGGTCAGAATATTAAGAATGGCAGAGAATAACTAAAAAATTAATCAAGAGAAAGAAATGAGGGTATCAGAGGAAGCTATTTAAATCCAAAAACAAATAGCGAAAGTTTTTCTTTCAAAATAACTGTCAAAAAAGTGAAGCTAAGTGATCACTGTCTGGAGACAAACTAGGGAGTTAATCAATGATTTTTAAAAAGTAGATGAAATCAATAAAATATTTGGCTTCTGTTCTCGCTACAGAGGAGACAAAAAACAGATCAGTAATATTTGTAAATCAGGACATGAAAGTAAGAGAGGAACTTAGTAAAATTACAATCACAAGCAAAGTGGTGCTAAGCAAACAGATGAAGCTATGGGTTGACATGTCTGAATCCAGATGGACTTCATAATTGGGTCTTAAAAGGGTGGCTAATGAGATGAATGGGCTTAAGTTTTGTAAAATTCCTTGGATTCTACAAAAGTTCCATAAGACAGCAAAGTAGCAAATATAACTTCTATTTGAGAAGGGAGGAAGGCAGTAAAACTGAACCTACAGGCCAGTTAGCTTGATGTCTGTCATGGGGATGATGTTAAAATTAATAATTCAAGAGGTTATAGCTGGGCACTTAAGAAATCTCACCAACTGGAAAACATCAGCCTGATTTTATGAAAGGGAAATCATGTTGAACCAATTTATTGGATTTCTATGAAAGAGTAGCATGCACTGTAGATAAAGGGGAGTTTGTAGACATACTGAACTTGAATTTCCAGATAGCATTTGACAGGATGCCACATAAAAAGTTACTGTTCAAAGTAGGAATTCATGGTGTAGGAGATATTATGAGCATGAATAAAAGGATGGCTGGCAGAAAACACAATGCATAAATAGGTCTTTTTCAGATTGACAAGATGTGATATGTGAAGTTCTGCAGGGGGCTGTGCTGGGGCATCAGCTTAACGCAATTTATATCAGCAACTTAGATGACCGAGTGAAGGAATGATTGCTAAATTTTCAGATGACCCAAAGACAGGTATGCTGGCAGTTGCAGTATAATGTCAGAAAATGTGAACTTGTTCACTTTGACAGAAAGAATTAACTTGCAGAGTATTACTTAATTAGAGATCAACTGCAGAATTCTGAGACATAGACAGATCTAGGTGTTTGAGTACAGGAGTTGCTAATGGTTAGTGTGCAATTCATTATGGAGGCTACTGGAAGGTTTTCCTTTGCTACAAAAGCAATTGAAAATAAAAGTAATGATAGTTCAGTTACAGTCATACAGCACAGAAACAGATTCTTCAGTACAACTAGTTCATGCCGACCACAATCCCAAACCAAACTAGTTCCACCTGCTTGTACTTGGCCCATATCACTCAAAACATTTTTTTATTCATGAACTTATCCAAATGTCTTTTAAATGTTGTAAATGTACCCATGTCCATCACTTCTCCAGAAGTTCATTCCACACACAAATCACAGTAAAAAATTGCCCCTTGTCATTTTTAAAATCTTTCTCCTCTCCCTTTAAAAATATGGGCCCTTGCCTTGAAATTCTCCACCCTAAGGAAAACTCCTGCCAGTCGCTTTATCTATACCCCTCATTATTTTATGAATCTCTATAAAGGTCACCGCTTAACCTCCTACACCTCAGTGAAAAATGTCCCAGCCTATCCAGCCTCTCCTTATAATTCAAACCCTCCATTCCTGGCAACATCCTGGGAAATCTCTTCTGAACCCTCTCCAGCTTAATAAAATCCTTTATATGACAGGGAGACCAGAACTGGACGCACTACTACAAAAGAGGCCTTACCAATGTTCTGGCCAACCTCAACATAACATCCCAACTCCTATACTCAAAAGGTCTGAGCAATGAAGGCAAGCGTGTTAAACCCTTTCTTAACCACCCTATCTACATGTGATGCAAACTTCAAAGAATTATGTACTTGAACCCCTTGTTGTGTCTGTTCTAATACACAACCCAGGGCCTTAGCACTAATTTTATGTTGTGCCTGTGTTTGTTTTACCAAATTGCAATACCTTGCATTTATCCAAATTAAACTCCACCTGCCACTCAATAGCCCATTGGCCCAATTGATCAAGATCTCTTTGTGATCTTAGGTAACCACCTTCACTGTCCACTATACCACCAATCTTGATGTCGTCTGCAAATGTACTAATCATACCTTCTACATTCTCATCTAAATGATTCATATATTTTATTCTTTATATACACAGGGCATTGATGAGACCACAGATGAAGAACTGTGTACACTTTTGGCCTCCTTATTGTGTGCTGGAAGTGATTCAGAGAAGATTTTCTAGACTGATACCTGAACAGCAGGTTGTCTTATCAGGGAAGGATGGACAGACTGGGCTCGTTTCCACTGAAGTATAGGAGAGTGAAGGGTCATTTCAATGAATTGTATAAGATTCTGAATTATATTGACAAGATAGATATGGAAAGGATGTTTCCCCTCATTGGTGAGTCCAAAACTAAAGGACATTTAAAAATTATTGGCCACATTTTGAGAACATAAGTAATGACACTAATTTTGAGTGCATTATTGTACAGCATTGGAGCTTTCTGCCTCAGAAGACAGTGGATGTGGGAAAATTGAACATTTTTAAGCCCCAGGAACACAGATTCATGTTAGGCAAAGGAACTGAAGGTTTTCTAGAATAGGTAAGAATGGAATTCAAAACAAAACCAGCCATGATCTTAATGGATAGTGGAGTAAGTTCAAGGGCCCAAATGGTCTCTCTTCTCCTAACTCACGTTTGTATGCATCTAATCAGAGTTGAGAGAACTTATGTCAAATCAATTCAAGCACCTGATATGAAGTCCTGTAAAACCAACAATGGAGCAGTCCAAGGTCCAGACTGTTTGATTGGATTGTCACAAATGGTTATCACACTGGTGAGAGAACTGAAAATAGCAAGATAAGGGAAATTTGCTGCTTTAAGTTCAAAATATACTTGTGCATTTATTTGGTTTTTAAGTACAATACCACAGAATACAGCAAAAATAAGCTGTGCACTTACCTTGCCTGGATCATCCTTGGACCGAGGCACTTTCAGGAAACATTTATTTAATGATAAATTGTGTCGAATGGAATTCTGTAAGAAAACACAAAGATCAATGTTTTAAAAAAATGAAACACCAAGTGGAATAATCGTAAACAAATCCTGCAATAGCCAATTCAATAGCTCAACCTAAACCAAAAACACTTGATACAAGAAATCACTGTTTACTAGCAGCGTCAGAGTAGATGGTTTAGCCTCGGACTTAAAGGTTTCTGAACTGATTATTTTCTGGAAATGCAAGACAAACACACAGTATTTAAACTCAGGAGTTTGAAATAAAGTTCATCTTAACTGGAGGTGGAGGCATAGCAGTAATGTCACTGGATTGGTAATCCAGAACAACAGGCTAATATTCGGGGGCTACAGGTTTGAGTCCCACCATGGCAAATGGTGAAATTTGAAATCAATAAAAATCTAGCCTAGTAGAGAACATGTAACTATCAGTGATTGTTGTAAAAACCCCCATCTGGTACATGTCCTTTGTCGAAGGAAATCTGCCATCTTTACCTGGTCTAGTCTACTGTCACTTCAGACCCACAGCAATGTGTTTGACCCTTAATTGACAAGTAACCAGCTGTACAATAAAGGACAGGTAACAAACGACAGCTGAGCCAGCGGTGCCCACATTCCGTGAAAGAATAGAAAAAAGGTATAAAATTTCTTAGTAAATGTCATACTGAATGTTAATTTATTGGTCATGGATATCAGATTATTGGGAAGTTTCAATCTGTAATTACCCAAATTGATTTCACTTAACCATGAAACAGATAAGTTGATAGGAAACTAATTCATAGCAACGAGGAGAAGCTCCCCAGTGATTACACTGATAGAGGCATTTTCTCCCACAGGGTTCTTAAAGCAGCTTACCCAAATAGCCACCTTTTCTGGGTACGTGGCTGATAAGCTATTTAATTAAAAGGGGTACTTTACTTTGCAGGTCAAAGTGACTTGATCACCATGGTGCTTTATCAGGTGAAACAACAGGCAAGCAGAAACATTATGAATGTAATTGCACAGGATCATAGTAGTAAAGCTGCTCTGCAAGTTACAGTGATGTACATTATTAGGCACATAAAAGACAAGAGCATAAAGGTCAGGTCATTTCTGTTGAGTCATTTGGGAACTATTTGGTTGGTGGAAAGTAATATAATCAAAGGCATATGCAGTAATTATCAGCTGATATGCCAAAGGACAGACATTTCATGCTTATGTTTATAAAGCAGCATGCTATCACATTATAAGCAGTATAGAGAATCAGAATCTGTTTAAAAAGGGAAGACAAATTTTCTTGCAATAGCTTCTTGACAGCTAAGTGCACTTATTCAATAGCTAAATTATAGAAATTAGGAACCTTTGGTTTGAGCCTTGATTTGAGCTGATTCAGCTGATTTCAACTGTAGGATGGACTCAAAAGGGCCTCTGCTTTAATCATTCCATGATTCTAATTGATAATCAGTACCAATGAGTCAGGCAAAAGGAAACACAGTTTAAGGTTCCAGGTCATTAACGATTGGCTATGAATGGATTATGCAAGAACATTAGATGAGGCCAGAAAAAAATTATGCAGTGGTTAAGTTAATGCCTCAAGGAGAGGAGAGAAAAAGGAAATACAGCCATATATTATTCTTGTGTATTCAAGGGAATCACAACTCAAGGGGGTGTTTGTAATACAAATGTGATCCTTCACAGTCATTGACCTTGGCAGAGATTGACATCAACACACATCACTTGATGGTTATTTTGGACCATCACGAGCTGTACCCCATCACAATGCCACACATCCTTCCCTCTAAGCAAAAAGTTAAAATGAAAATAGCAATTTAATGTTTCTGAAATAGCAAGAACTTCAATCTTGAAGGACTTAATGCAAAATGTCAGTAAATATACTTTTGCGACACACACAAACATAACTTGGATTCATCAAAACATTCCAATTTTCTTCATCAGTAGCAAAATTTCTAGCCATTGTAAAGAAAAAAAAAATAGTCCCTTACCACACGCTCAGCATGACATTTATACTCACAACAGCAAATTATTTAAGTGCAGTCTCTATAGTTATGCGCACAAACACAGCAGCCAATTCACCACAGTAAGGTTCCAGAAATATTGGAATTATTGGTGATGATCTTTTTTACACCGTGGTTTTGTACACACCCTTCCAACAGCCAAGTAGAAACAGATTATTGACATTTACCCTATCAAACTCTTACACAATTCAATCAGGTCATCTCTCAGTCTTCTCTTGCTGGATAAGCTGCAGCCTCTCAGTTCTGCTTTCATGTTTGCGAATCTTGTTTGCCCCTTTCTGCAGTGCTACCACATACTGTTTGTAATATGGAGACCAGACATCCTGTACAGTACTGTAAATGTGGAAATACTCTATGACCTTGGTAAAATAGATTTTAAAGGTTTAAAAAGTCACTTATTCTGATTCCAGGCATCATAAATTACTGAGAGAAAAAAGGCATGAAACTGACAAGGCTCTGGCTTTCCTGTTTAAATATGAGGGTCCTACTGGAGGTTTGGTTAATTGCAAATATTACACCCTTATTTTAAAAACAGGGGAGAGGGGTGAACCTAGGGAACACAATCAGTTTGTTATCAGTTGTGGTGCTGGTAACGAAACTTTCAAAAATTGTCAATTTATTTATTGGATGTGGACTTCAGTGACTAGGCCAGTATTTATTGTCAATCCCTAATTGCCCTGGAGAAGATGCTGGTGAACCCTGGCATCCCACACTGTGTTTAAGGCAGAGGTAGGTAGATTCTTGACTAACAAGGGTCTGGAAGAGTATGGCTGGGGACAGGGGTTGGGGTTTGGTTGGTTGGTAGGTGGGAATGTGGAGTCGAGGATGATCTTGCTGCAGCCACAATGTGGTTGAATAGTGCTGCAGGCTTAAAGGGCCGAATGGTCTACTGCTGCTCTTATCTTGCATGTTCTTATGGATGTTCACTCACAGCACTGCTAGGGAAGGAGTTCCTGGATCTTTACCCAGAAATTCTAAAAGAACAGTCAACATAGTCCCGAGCCAGGATGGTGTGAGAGGTTTGGAGAAGAAATTGAAAGGATGGGATAATACATGAGACACAGTAAAGATCTGGGTAAGGTATGTGGAGCATGACATTATCCATTAATGGCTGGACGAAGGAACTGAGGGCATCGTTGCTAAGTTTGCAGATGACACAAAGATAGGTGGAGGGGGCAGATAGATGTTGATGAAGTGAGGAAGCTACAGACAAGCTTAAGAGAATGGGCAAAGAAGTGGCAGGTGGTGGGAAGAATAGAGGCATACGCTATTTTCTAAACGAGGAAAGGTTTCAGAAATCCGGAGCACAAAGGGACTTAGGAGTCCTAGTTTAGGATTCTCTTACGGTTAATATTCTGGTTCAGTTGGCACTTATTCCAAGACGGCTAGAATACAGGAGCAGCAATGTTCTGCTTAGGCTGTGTAAAGCTCTAGCCAGACTGCATCTGAAATATTAGTGTGCAAAACTGCTCACGTGTCTAAGAAAGGATGCGGTGTTGGTTTTTTTTGCAGGGGGGGTGTGCTGGTGGTGGTGGTGGTGGGTGGGCTGTCCAGAGGAGGTTTGCAAGAATGAATCTAGGAATGAAGGGCTTGTCATATGAGGAGGGGTTGAAGACTCTGGGTCTGTACTCCATGGGGATTAGGAGAAGGACAGGGATCTGATTGAAACTTACAGAATACTGAGAGGCCTGGATACAGCAAACATGGAGATGTTTCCACTAGCAGGAGAAAGTAGGACCCAAGGGCATAGCCTCAGTGTCAGGGGGTGACCCTTTAGAACTGAGATGAGGAGGAATTTCTTCAGATGTAGGTTAGTGGATCTGTGGAACTCATTGCCACAGAGGCTGTGGAGGCCAAGTCACTGAGTGCATTGAAGGCAGAGGTAGATAGGTTCTTGGTGAATAAGCAGATCAAGGGTTACGAGGAGCAGGCAGGAGAATGGGGTTGAAAAATGTATCGGCCATGATCAAATGTTAAAACAGACTTGATGGGCCGAATGGCCTAAATCTGCTCCTAAATCTTATGGTCTAAATAGTAATAAGATGAGTGGTCAGTTAGACTACTTTGGTGCTTTAGTTCAGAGACAGCAATGTTGACCAAATGCTCAACTGTTCATTTAAACAAGTGAATGGTAGCTCAGTTGAACATCTCACCTCCAAGATAGATCACCTCCAAGATAGATCACCTCCAAGATAG